CAGGGCGGGGGCTGTGGGGAAGGGAGGTGAGGGGTCATGTTGGTGGGAGGGGCGGAGCACAGCATGCAGGCAGCCATAGGTCCATATCCAGGAGGAGCTGCCACGGGATGAACATCTAGCACCGAGAAGGCGGCTGGAGCTACACTGCCAACCCCATACTCACCGAGCATGGATCCTGGCCCTGCCAGGCCACACCATGAAGGGGTGAGTGCAGCTCTGGCTAGCAGGGGAGCCCCGGGACGCACCCAGGCTGACCTGGGCCTGGAGTCTGGTGGCACAATTCTCCTGCTCAGCACCACTGCTGGGGGCTGCGGTTAGGCAAACACTGAGCAGTTAATCCCTTTGCAATCACCCACACACCCTGGGATCTGCCGCTTCCTGCCCAAGTCCCTGCAAGGGTCACTCCAAGCAGCCTCCTTCACCTCCCCTAACTCTGCGAGGGGAGGTGCTGGGGGAAAAGGGGGTGTGGCCGGGCAGGGGGCTGGGCAGTACAGGCTGCGAGGGGAGGTGCTGGGGGAAAAGGGGGTGTGGCCGGGCAGGGGGCTGGGCAGTACAGGCTGGGGGGGGGGGTGGCGGGGGGCGGGGGGGGGGGAGGGGGGCTATAGGGATAGAGCTAATATTAGGGACTGTCATGCTTCCCATGGGACCTTACCTACCAGCTCTCTGAGCTTACCAAAATCTGCCTTCCTGAAGTCCATTGTCTTTATTTTGCTGTTCTCCCTTCTACCATTCCTTGGCATCATGGACTCTATGATTTCCTGATCATTTTCACCCAAGCTGCCTTCCACTTTAAAATTTTCAACCAATTCCTCCCTATTTGTTAAAATCAAATCTAGAACAGCTCCCACCCTCCGTAGCTTTTTCAACCTTCTGAAATAAAAAGTTGTCTTCAATGCAGTCCAAAAACTTAACTGGATAGCGCCCCACTGTGTTAGTTTCCCAGCATATGTCTGGATAGCCAAAGTCCCCCATCACCACCAAATCCTGCACTTTGGATGATTTTGTTAGTTGTTTAAAAAAAGCCTCATCCACCTCTTCTACCTGGTTAGGTGGTCAGTAGTAGACCCCTAGCATGACATCACTCTTGTTTTTCACCCCTTTTAACCTAACCCAGACACTCTTAACACGTCTGTATCCTATGTCCATGTCCACCTCAGTCCAAGTGTATACATATTTAATATATATAAGACAACACCTCCTCCCTTTCTTCCCTGCCAACCTTCCTGAGTAAGCTGTACCCTTTTATACCAATATTCCAATCATGTACTATATCCCGCTAAGTCTCTGTGATACCAACAATGTCATAGCTATGTTTATTTATTACCCCTAGCAGGCAGCATACCTCCCAAGATGATATGTCAGGGTGACAGATGGGTGCCTCAATCCCCCTTAGAAGAGAGTCTCTGACCACCAGTACCCTACATTTCCTCCTCGCAGTGATGGCAGCAGACCTCCCAGCTTTGGAGGTACAAGGTTCCTCCTCTTCTTCTGTGGGGGGGTGATTCCTTATCTCCTGTGTCCAGAACAGAGTAACGGTTCTCTAATACCATGGTGGGAGGGTTGGGAGCAGGCGTGGAGCATTGCCAGCTGCCAGAAGTGACCAGCTGCCAGGGTCCCCCCCAAGCCATCTCCTCCACCACTAGTGGGTTGTCCGTGGGCTT